TCCAGGTCTGCTTGCAGCTGTTCCCTGCCCTCCGGCATGTCCACTTCTCCCCATAGCTTTGTCTCATCCGCAAACTTGGACAGAGTACACTTCACTCCCTCCTCCAAGTCGCTGATGAAGACATTGAAGAGTATCGGTCCAAGGACCGAGCCCTGCGGGACCCCACTGCCCACACCCTTCTAGGTCGAAACCGACCCATCCACCACGACTCTCTGGGTACGACCCTCTAGCCAATTCGCCACCCACCGGACTGTGTAGTGATCCAAGTCACAGCCTCTTAACTTGTTCACCAGTATGGGGTGGGATACTGTATCAAAGGCCTTCCTGAAGTCTAAGTATACGACATCCACCCCTCCTCCTGTGTCCAGGCATTTCGTAACCTGGTCAAAAAAAGAGACTAAATTAGTCAGGAACGATCTGCCTGCTATGAACCCGTGCTGGTTTCCCCTTAGAGGGGAAACTCCTTAGAGTGGCTTTAGGAGCCGCTCTAATTAAAACACCCCCCCACTCCCAGAGCACGTATATAAACACCCTTTAAGACCAAGCAGGAAACAGGCTCTAACTGAACTTAAGGGATGTGTACAATCACCTGCACTTACTGCTTTAGGGTTGGATGGCGAGATGCAACACCATCCCTCTAAGAGCGCTCCAACATAAAGCCTCTCCTTTCTCTTGGGAGTCCTGAACTGGGGTCCCTTCACCTTAGACTTCCACACATGTCCTGGTGAGCACTCAGCCCAAAGCTGCATTAACTCAACTTCATCTTACAGCATCAGTCATCTTACCAGCTATACAGCTTTGGAAGGCAGGGCCAGTGCTTGCAAACCTGACTCCTCTGGCCTCTTATAGTCTAACTGCTGAATGCAGTTAAATCGTGTTAAAATGCAAGAGATAAACAAAACTTTTCTCACTCCCTCACCCATACATACCCTTTTAATTTTTGCAAAGATACACACACACAAGTGTGTATTTACACACACACACACACTACAGTACCTCTACCAACCTGTCCCATGGCTGCTATTGCTCACTTGACAGTCCAAAGTACATCATGGCGATGATACCATACATACTCCTGTCACAATATCTGTACCACCCTACTCCCACATATCCATACACCTACGTGGCAGATAAGAGGCACAGTCCCCATAATCTGATCTTGTATACTAATAGTGGGATACAAAAAAGCACCACAGAGACATTGTCACACAGGTACAGTAGGAACAGGGTCATATATCTCCCCTACCTTCTACTTTATGAAAAGCCATTCTGAAGCTCAAGTATACAATGTCTACTATATTCCTATCATTTATCCAATTGATTATTTTTTCCAAGAACTTATGCCTGTGATTGGAGTCAGGCTGTGATCTTGGCTGTATTTCTGAGTACTGCTAACGTGCATCTCAGCCTGTGTATTTCTGCTGCTGGGGCTGTCACTTGAATATGGCAGTGATGTGAATATGGATGTGGGCTGTTTCTGTTTAAGCCCAATGCCTAAAGCCCTAATTGTGGAAGCTAAGGACAGTAAGTCCTCCTGAATTCACCTGTGAGACTGCTCTGGCCTTGTAGCCAGTGCCTACTCTCAAGCCCTCAGTCTCCAACACCTGAGCATGGCTGCTGAGGACCAGGCCAGAACAGCCTCAGTAGCAAACCTCCAGCTGTGGAGCAAACCTGTGGGCTCATGTGGGAGGAGTATATTCAGCCCCATCCTCACCAGGCCCTGCCAATGCAGTTTACAGAGCAGGCTAAGGCAGCCCAAAACTACGTGACAGCTCTGGATGTATAGAGGCCCCGGCGCAATTCAAAGTGATGGATTTGTCCTATAAGGCCCCAAACATCCTGTGCCCTACTTCCCTAGGAGACCGCCTTCTCCCTTAGGCCCCATTGTGATCCCCAAGATTAGTGAGAGCAACCTCTTGCAAGCACTATTAATATGCCAAGTCTGCTTGGCAAAATGTAGGCAAGATGTTCTCAGCAGTCAGTCACTCCTCAGTCGTAGATCTCCCTCCCTCTTAAGGCCTGATAGAGCCTGAGCCTGGATATCTTCTGGAAGCACTATAAGATCTTCTTATTTGGACAGGCATTAACAAGCCAAGCTAGGCTGAGATACAGTTTAGGGAGGTCTCTAGTTTTATATTAGTATTCTAGTTTGCCTTATACATTGTTTTATCTCTTGTCATTCTCTTGTTTTGTAAGCTATTCTGTTTTCTTACTGCAATCCTCCATTAGACATTATTGGAAAGGGTGGCATATCAACTGAATAAATAAATAAGACAAAATTAATTATGTGTGACTGTGGCTGCTGTGTTCTGGATGCCTGTGACACCAGCTTTTCATTTCGCTGTATCTGCTTTGTTGTTGTGATAGTTCTGACTCTTGTGAATGAATCAGGAAAGACAACAGTCAGAAACTCCCTCCTGCGGTTAATCTTTGGGACTGATACAAATCATACAGAAGCTGTGCAGTACAATTGTTAGGGCCCTGGAGTGGTAGCCAGGACACCAAGATTCTTCCCATAGTCCCAGGATGGGAGAGAGATCCATCACATACAAAACTAACATTATCATGATTTTGATCCTAGCTGCAGGGTATTGATCTTTTGAGGCACCTATACATGAGCAGAAAGGCTGCTCGGACGTGCTGGACTTCCAGCACGTTGGAGGAGATTCAATTAATCGAGTCTGCTGGAGTATAGCAATTGCTGTACTTGAGCAGCCTCCTGAACTCATGTATTAGTGTCCCCATGCATAAAAATGGTGGTGGGGGGTGCTTGAACTAAAGCTCATCTAACGAGCTTTAGTTCAGGCACCCCTGCCACCATTTAAGTGCAAGGATGTTGATACAGGAGATACGGTTGTGTTTTAATTAGAGCAGTAAAGAGCTGCCCCCGACCCTACCCGCAGAGCACATGTAAGAGTGCCTTTGATGTTTGTAGGTCATTTACAAGTGCTGCTACAGGGTGCCTGCCTCTAGGGGCCTATTAGTACCTACACCCTCTGGCCTCTCCCCTATCCTGTAGCATCAGCTGCCATGTCTTGATGTTGGAATTAGTAAGGGAGGCAATACAGAGGGTAAGGCACACTTTTGGAAGAGACAGCCCCTGTCTGTCCCAATGCTCCCCAATTTTACTCTCACTGAACCCTCCAGCTTGGGGCCCACGGCTCAGGGCTGCAGGGTCCTGGCTCAGCTCTGGTCATTTCCCATGACCTCAACTTTCAGCTCCTGCAATATCCAGTACATAGGTGCTAGGGACCCCCTGCCACCTCCTGTCGCACAGTTCAGTCAACTTCAGCCACAGAGCACACTGGTCACACTGGTGACCTCAGGTTCCCCACAGCGCACAATCAAGCTTGTGATGGGAAATGAAACCCACTAAAAATGCAAGCCCCAGTCCCAGCAAAGGAATGGCCCACATGGGGTTCACTGCAGCCCTTGGTGCCAGGCTCTACATAGGAAAACAAAAGCCAAAACAGAAAGTGCCCAGGGGACTTAACTTGCTTCCTAGGCAGGCTCCCAGCTTCCCTTCACTTGGGGCCACCTTCTGAGTCCTCTCTATAGTCTGGGCTCTAGTTATCATGCCCCTTGCAAATGGATCCATTCACAATTACTTCCACAGCCAAACTGCTGTCTTGGCCTGAGGCTTGGGCTTATACAGGACTCCTTGTGTCACATGGCCCTTCTACTTCCTCCTCCCCGGGTCATCAGGCTCTGCCTGCACCTGGACCTGCAGCTATCTTGCTGCAGGTCCTCCCTGACTCTGGGTTTGGTTCTGGGGTCACCATCAGGGCACAGAAAGAGAGGGGACCACAGTTAACTGGAAGGAAGTGAGGGGAAGAGGGGTAGGGACTTCTACCAGGGTAGGGAAACACTGGTAAACACACAGCAAGGTAAGGGAGGGAAAAATGTAGAAAAATGTGGGAGTGGGTAGTGAAGGAGAGGGAATGGGCCAGGGGTGCCTGCCCCACTTTCTATTCTAGTAGTGGGGTAGAAGCCCTATTATAAATGTTCCAGGGTTTCTCCCTCATTTCATTAGTGACAACTTTCCCCACTTGAGCTAAATGTCATGACAATGCATCTAAAACAGGGAAGCAATTGAAATTAAACTGCATCAGAAATGGAAAGAGAGGATCCAGCATGCAGGGACATGCTATCATTACACTAACATACATTGTGCAAGCACAGAAACACACAAAACTTGTATTCCAACTAAATGGTCAAACAGATTTTTACCTTTAGATGAAGAGTGACTCCTAGCATCACACAGAATATTTTTGCCCTGTTGGATCAGAGATTGTGTCAGAGCTGAAAGGCCTCTGCTTCATTCCTGGGCTCAGATTAGAGCCGGAGTGTCCTACAGGAACAACCCACCCTGTTACACTCCCTATGCTGTGAGACTGCTAGCCAGTACCTCCAGGAGCTAGACAGAAACAGCTATCACTCCCCAAGCAGTGTCTTCCTCAAAGCTTCCTTCACCTCCTTGTTTCTCAAGCTGTAGATCAACGGGTTGAACAGTGGTGTCACCACTACATAGAAGAGTGTGACTATCTTCCCACTGCTCCCGGAGGCTGCTGGATTGACATAAGTGACCATAATAGAGCCATAGAAGAGACCTACCACAGCAAGATGTGAAGTGCATGTGCAAAAGGCCTTGCGTCTCCCAGCCCCCTGTGGTAGTCTTATCACTGCCTTAAGAACCATTGCATAGGAGGCCAGAATAAATAGAAAAGTACTGATAATGATGAGGGAACTAAGGGTATAGAAGGCATGTTCAGTCTGAGGACTAAGGGCACAGGAGACAGCTAGCAATGGGGCTGGATCACAAACAAAATGATCCAAGACATTGGGGTGGCAGAAGGGGAGCTGAGAGATGAGGACAATGGGGATCATGAACCAGAGGAAGCCACAAACCCAGCAAGAAGCCACCAGGATTAAGCAGATCTGCTGGGACATGAGGCTGGGGTAATGCAGGGGGTGACAAATAGCCAGGTACCTATCTAATGCCATGGCTGAAAGGAAGGAGCATTCAGTGGCCCCCATAGAGAAGAAGAAGTAGAACTGGAGGAAGCAGGCTTGAAAGGAAATGATGTCTCCTTGAGGGGTCACCAGATCCACCAGCATCCGTGGCACTGTAGCTGTGACGTAGCAGATCTCCAGGAAAGAGAAATTCCCCAGGAGGACATACATGGGCAAATGGTGGAGGTGGGGGTCCTGTAGAATAGCCACCATGATACAAAAGTTTCCTGCTAGTGTCAGGGTATAGGTTGAGGAGAGGAGGGCACAGAGGAAGAAGCGACTTGTCTGGTCCAGGGACGAAAAGCCCAACAGGATGAACTCAGTCACAGGGCTGGTGGCATTGTTTAAAATCATTCGGGAAGCCTGGATCTGGAAGGAAATGACATACAAGATAACCAAGTTCAACTCATTTCTTTGAGAATGGATAAGGCCCTGATGAGGGAGAGCTGTGAAATCTGAGAGTCAGGACTCCTGTTATATCATCAGCCCTGAGAGCAGAATGTTGACCAAACAGCACACAGGCAGACATTCATTCACTGAACATGGCTCCATCATCCAACACAGAGCAGTGCTCTCACAAGTGCTCACATGCACATGCACATACACTCACACATGCAACACATGAGTCCATACATGATCTGACACCTTCCATGCATGAGAAAGACCCAGTATGGATGCTGTAGATCAGTAGTTCTTGAGCTCACTGGACTCTAGGTACCTCTCATTAGACTCAAGGCACCCCTCAGAATATTCCAGCTCTTAGCTTTCAATCATTTTCAACCATAGAGAAACAACAGAACACTTCTTCTGTTTCTCAGGAAGAACTCAGAATGACAACAGGACATCAGAAAGTTTTTGACACTAAGAAATCCTATGGGAAATCCTTTGATTTGTCTTGTGAATCATGTGTTGTGGTGTTAGAGTGGTGTCATAGCCATGATGGTCTAAGACTCATGCAAAAGGCAAGGATCTTTTTGTGGTGATATCTTTTATTGGACCAACTGCATGGTTGGGATAAAGTTAGATAAGCTTGCAAATGCAATGCATTCATTGCCAGGTCATGTGCAGGCATTTGCACACCTAATAGTGCTAATACTGTGTTGCACCCTTAAAAGGATCTCGTGGTACTCCTGGGTGCCACAGCACCTTGGCTGAGCACCATGAGTCTAGACCAGTAATACTGCCTGTGGAACACTTACCCATACCTGGACCTGCTTTTGAAGGCCAGCCTAGATCACTGGTTTTCAAACTGTCCCATGGAGCACTGGGCTCCCACAAGAGATCATCAGGGGTTCCAGAGAGAGACTGGGGATAATGGCAGAAGGGGCTGGGAGGTGGTGTGCTGTCATGGCTGGGCTGGGTCACCTGGCTCCATGTCAACTCACAGAGTAGCGGTAGGGCTTCCACAGCAGAAGAAGTGCTATGGAGGGGTTCTGTGGCTTTAGAAAGTTTGAAAACCAGTGGTTTAGAGGATGGGAAACCCTTGTCTGTGCTGATCACCAGACAGGCAACCCCCTTTCTTTACTTTAGGTGCCTAGATGGTTCTTAAAATCTGGTCAAAGACCATTGTTTTTAAATGGTTTTCAGGTTCCTACATTATTACTGAAAATTTTACCCACTCCTCCCCACCTGTATGACTTATGAGTAAAACAGTATTAGATCAGTGGAATGCTTCACAGATATTCCAGAATTCAGACCCATTCAGGAATGACATCAGTCATGGATCAGGACTAAAAGATATACAGGAGAAAGATCTGTTAATTCATGGTATCAAGATATATCTCTATATTGATTTTTGGGTGTGACTGAAAAAAGAAACCAATTATTGCATATGAAATTAAAGTACAGATCCCACTAAGTGTTGTGTTGTAGTTTTGGTGTTGTTATTCATTCATTATTAAAAAAAAACCAAAACAACAACTAAGAACCCCAGAGAGAACTCAGAGCCATTGTGCTTGATGTTCTACCAAAGAAGAACAAAAATTGCCGGCTTCATACAGTTTACATATTGTATTGCTCAGATGATAATAACGTACTAGTAACAGTTCTATATTCCACGGGGTTTTTTTTCATCAGGGGTTCCACAGAGAGACTGGGGATAATGGCAAGAGGATGGGAATCCCTTGTCTGTGCTGGTCACCAGAGCATGTGATGCCCAAGGGAATACTGGGGAATTGACAGGCAACCCCCTTTCTTCACTTTACGTGCCTAGATGGTTCTTAAATTCTGGTCAAAGACCATTTTTAAAAAATGAGATTCAGTTCCCTACATCATTACTGAAAAATTTACCCCACTCCTCCTCTCCTGCATGATTTATAAGTAAAACAATATTAGATCAGAGGAATGCTTCACAGATATTTACCTTGAATTCAGATCTATCCAGGAATGACATCAGTCATGGATCTGTCCTAACAGATATGCATGAGAAAGATCTGTTAGTTCACAGCATTGAGATGTGTCTCTATATTAAGTTTGGGGTATGACTGAAAAAAGAAATCAATCATGTCATATGAAATTAATGTACAGATGCAACTGAATTCTGTCTTGTAGTCTTGTTTTTATACATTCATTATTAAAAATGTATTATATTTTCAGATGTGGTTAAGTATTACACTAATTCTTCTATGTGTATTTACATTTACTTAATATATTAAATGGGAAGCTACATGTAAGAGAACTTTAAAATATTATATTTAGAATGATATAAACCTCTTGGTCCAACTGAACTATTGCATTCATATTTTTCTGTAGTGCAATTTTTAAAAATTGGTGAAATATTTAATTAAGAGTGGTATATTGCCATTTTACTATTTCAATTTGAATAGTATGATAGCAGAGACAGTTTAATTTGTGGATCATGTAATCAAAATAGAGATTGGTAATTTTATCATTGTAGATACATTTTATCTAAAAAAAATCAGTTTTATTGATGTATAGATTTGATCAGATTAAAGTACTCTATATAAACCTTGGGTCTTAAACAAAGGAGAGAAACATCTGTTCTCACTGTCTCAGCTCACAGAATGCACAACAGGTAAGAATCTCTTTAGAAAGAGCTAAAGAGTTACTGTAACCTTTTCTTTTCTTTTCTCTCCTGGTTATGAAACAGACTACCTTGGACATGCAGCATCCTAAACATGTGCAGGCACACACACATCCACTAAGATATTCTATACGCGTAGTTCCTCCTCAATTCAACTCTACGAGAGTTGACTTGCTTTCAGAAGTATACTTTACAGATGTGATGCTTTATTACAGCTGCTTTAGAAAATAAGTTTAAGAAATCAGCCTTGAAAATTGCTTTAGAAATTGTCTTCAGAAATTACTCTAGGGAATGATCTCTAGAAAATTCTTTATAGAAATTTCTCAAGGACATTGTTTGCATAAGAAGAAATAAGGCAAATTGCTATGAGAGGAACACACTCCTGGATAAGTGCTGTTGGAGCATAAAACCTAACTGTCTCCCAGGTAGAGCTGGATGTTACGAAAGGGATGATATGCTTTGGTTGCCTGTGATGGCAAAGGATTGGTCTTGATTAACCAGGAGAGTCCTTGGAGTCCTGCATTGCCAAATACTCTCTTGACAGTTTTCTCTCCAAATTAATACCACCACCATCCTACAAACAAATATACAGATGCACAATTATTTTAAGCATCAGACCCTGACTATTTAGAATTTGCTTTTTAAAACACTGCCTTACAAATTTCTCGTTAGAAATCAATTCTTTTGGGGAAAAAAAAAATCTAGAGCTAGGTCATTAGAAATTACACTTTTGAAAGTATTTGTAAAAATTTATCCCTCAATATGTTTCTTTCTTTTCCTCAGAAATTATCTTAGAAGCTTCCCTATAGAATATAATGCTTTAACAATGCCTGTAGCTTGAGAAATTCCTCTAAAAAATAATTGTTTTGGGAAATACGCTCTAGAAACTATACTTGAAGAAGCTGCATAGGAAATGCCATTTTAGAGATTAAAATTTGGAAAAGTAAACTTTGGAAATTTGTCTACAAGTATCCTAAGGGGAAGAGGGAAAGCCTTGCTAAAAACACCCCTAAGCAATTATTTGAGGAAATGGTTTTTTAAAAATGATGCTATGAATATATATCAAGAAAAAATGCACCTTACAAATGATGCTAGGCAGTAGTACTTTACAAAAATCATGCACCTCTCAGGGAAAAATAAAACCTTTAAAAGAAACTCTCTAGGGGTTATAGCTTATTCTGGGAAATACTTCTAGATATACAACCTTTTAGGTTGGCAAATTCCTCCTTAAAATGTATACTTTTGACAAATATAAAGACATTTCCTTTGGAAAATCTTTCTAAACATTACCTCATGAAATTTATTCTTTATATTCTTTTTGAAGTGATAATTTAGAAAATGCTCTTTAAATATCACACTGGAAAGTTTTCCTTAGAAAGAAAATTCTCAGGTCAGGGAATGACTTTGGAAAATAGTCATTAGGTAAATAGGAACTGCTCTAGGAAAATAAGCAGTATACAAGTTACAATTTAGAAAATAATATTTCAAAATTTTTCTTTAGACAAGCCTACTCAACAAAATCTTAAAAGAACATTATTTCTAGAATGATCCTCTAGAAGAGGTAGATAAAAAGCTCTCTTTAGGAAGAATATTTTAGAAAATTCCAAATAGAAAATGATCTGTGGAATTAGTGCTTTTAGGGTATTTTTTTGGGCACGGCGCTGTCGCAAGAGATCTCTCTTTGTAAAACTTACATAAGATACAAATGTTCTAGAAACTTTAAGCTCTTTTGGAAATTCCTACCCCTTATTCTATTAGTCAGAAAATCCCTCACAGTTTTTACCTTTGTAGGTCTCATGACCTAGCTTAATAATCCTCAGGTTTCTTAGCCAGCTGTATCTATTGCAAACATCACCACGGATTTGCCGCCTCCACTCCTGAACCAATGGAGAATCCATTTCTGATGGAACGGGGACTGTAGCAGGCATGACCAGTTGGGTGAAAAGGATTTCCCATGAAGGATGCAATGTCTGAAGAACAACTGGTATCAGATGCTCCCAATTATGGTTGGTTTTGCTTTTGTCATGACCTGGAAGGCCCTTTGGGGAAGTGGTGAGGTACCACTCTCAAGGATGCTTCAATCAGCAGCCTCCAGAGATCACACCATGCTCAGTAATGTAAGGGATACCACTTAACACAATTATCTCCTCTATTGGGTAGTCTAGTTCAGCAAAGAGTGCTTAGCCTGTTATGGAGGTCTGTCAAGTTTTTTGAGGATCTGAGGCCAGGACATCATGGTTTCCTCAGAATTGTATGGCCAACATACAAAAATCATAACAAAATTCCCCAAATCTACTGGCATTCTCAAAAAAAAGGGGGGGTT